AAAAAAAAAGGATGTTCCAGGCTCTTCTTGTATCTTCTCTGTCCCCTCTCCCCTGGAATCAGCCGTTTTCTCTAAGGAGAAGGGAGGGTGCTTTTGAAGGCGAGGTGGCTGACCCCTCACCCCTGAGTGACCCCCTTGGACTCTGATTTCAATGCGGCTGGCCCCGGCCAATGGCAGAGGCGATGCTCCAGCGGTTGCCATGGAGACTTCTGGGCCGCAGAGCCGCCGAAGGAGGCGGTGACGTCACTGCGGGAGCAAGTGCAGAGACCACATCCTTGTCTTCGCCGGGGCCACAGGGCACTGAGGGCAGCCCTCTGGGCCAGCCACGAGAGACCAGCCACCCTGCTTTCTGGGCCCCCATCCACGACACCCCGGTGGCCGCAGCCCCAGGGAGACGCGCCGTCCCAGATCTGCTGAGACTGCGAGGACGGGTGAGACCTTTGGAGACCATCGCCAAGAAAGGGGAGGTGCATCTTCAGACCCTCCTCAGTGTGGCCTTGCCCAGCCTCGGGACCCACGAGCCAGCTGGCAGACGCCACCTCTGTTTCACTGTGCGTAAGTCCCTGGGCATTCCCAAGAGCCCTCTCCGGGGAAGGTTACAGAGGGCTGGACACTGCAGCCCTGCGGGCAGGGCCAGGGACATCCTCCACTAGAGGGACAAATCGGGCCCGTGAGGCCTCTCTCCTACTTAGCCTTTGGGAAGGGATCGTGGCATCCTGGATAATTTTGTGGATTCTCGAGGCAGCTCAGGTGTGCACCAGCGAGCATACTCCTGCCTCCGAGAGCTGGGCAAGATGCTCTTCGGGGTCAAGGACATTGCTCTGTTGGAGCACGGGTGCAAGGCGCTCGAGGTGGACAGTTACAAGTCCCTGATGATCCTGGGTATACCGGAAGACTGCAACCATGAGGAGTTCGAAGAGATCATACGGGTCCCCCTGAAGCCCCTGGGCAAGTTCGAAGTGGCCGGGAAGGCGTTTCTGGAAGAAGAGAGATCCAAGGCAGCCATCATTAGGCTGGAGGAGGACATCAATTATGCCGTGATCCCCAGGGAGATCAAGGGCAAGGGCGGCATGTGGAGAGTGGTCTACATGCCCCGGAAGCAGGACATAGAATTCCTGACCAAGCTGAACCTCTTCCTGCAGAGTGAGGGCAGGACGGTGGAGGATGTGGCCCGGGTCCTGAGGCAGGAACTGTGCCCAACAGTGACGGGCCCCAGAGAGCTGCCTGCCAGAAAGTGCCGGGCGCCCGGGCCCGGGGAGAAGGCGGGCTCCGGGGCCCCCGCGGGCGCCGACGGGTCACCACCTCTGGCCTCGGTCGAGAAGCAGAGCAAGGCTGGAGATGACAAGAGAGGCAAGCGAAAGCACAAGAAAAGCCGTCGACGGCACCATGCATCTGACAAGAAGCTGTGAGGTGAGGTGGGGAGGCTGCAAGGGGCGGCAGGGTGAGGGGAGGTGACATCTGAGTGGGGGTGGGGGGAATGACCGGAAGGGGGGTAGCCTTTGAATTAGTTTGGGGAATTTGAGTGAATGTGGAGATTATGGGGGTGAGGGTGGGGAGTATGACTCAGGTGTGTGGGTCACTTTGAATGAGAATGGGTGTCATCTGAGTGATGGGGAACATCTGACTAGTGTGAGTGAGGGGAGGGCATTTTGATCTGAGTTAACTTGTGGATTACATCTGAGTGATGGGGGTAACGTCTGGTTGAGCGTGGGCCATTCATTCATTCATTCATTCATTCATTCTGCAGATATCTATTGCACGCAAATCCAACACAGATCCCTGCCTTCATGGCACTCATAGAGACTGGGGAACATGTGAGTTACTGGGGTACATCTGAGTGGACATGGGTACCATTTGAGTAGATGTAGGTAATATCTGGTTGAGTATGGATCACTCAGTCACTCAACAAATGTTTTCTGAGCACCCACAGTGTACCAGATGCTCTTTCAGGCACTGGGCATACAGTAGGGAACAAATAGACAAATCTTGCCCTCGTGGCACTCATATTAATGTCTGAGTAGGTGAGGGGAACATCTGAGTTACTTGAATACATGAGTGAGTGTGGGACCATTTGAGTGTGTGGGTAGCATCTGAGTCTGAAGGTAACATGAGTTAGAGCGGGTAATATCTGAGTAGTTGTGGGCAACGTGTGACTGTGGGAGTAACACCTGAGTGTGTGTGTGAGTATTATTTGAGTGGGTGAGGGTACCTTTTGAGTGAAGAACCCGCAAACAACGTCTAACAACCTGGAGACCCCAAGGGACCAGCCGGGAGGTCGCAGTCCTGGCAGAGAAGCACATCATCCCGACTGTTGCCATGGAGACCTCGGGCTGTCTCCCCCTCCCCACCGTGCGTGAGCAGGTGTTTGAAGGAAACGGAAGAGGAGGAACAGGGTCGGGGATTCCAAGGGTTTGCAGAAGGTCTCTTGCCAGAGTTGAGGAAAAGCCAAGCAGGAGGACCATGTTGGGGAGATCCCTGCTCTGGAGAAAAGCCGCTCTCCCCCCCTCAGCACCCCCTGAGTCCTGATTCGGGGACAGCCCCTCTTGCTGAGTATGTGTTGCCAGGAAGAGACACAGACCCTTCTAGATTTGGGCACTGCTGGAGATCCTGCCATTGCAAAGTCTAGACCTGTTTTTTGGTCTTTTAAAAGGATGGACCTTGAAGGTACTTCTGGCACAAACTCGTCCCGAGTGGGCCACCCTGATTTGCAGAAACCATGCCTGACGAAGTGAGTTGCCTGCTTGCCACACCTGAGGAGCTCAGGGCTCTGTGTTTGACTCTGTCAAAAGCTGTCGCTGTCCTGTACACACTCAGTCTCCCTTACAAGGGATGGTCAGACGTGGGACTCTTCTGCTCTGATTGGCCCCTGGGATTAGGATATGGGTCTCCCCAAATTCAATTCCAGAAGCTCTGATTTGGGCAGAGGGGGCACCCCACTCTAAAGAACAAAAGGCAAGATTTTCAGGAAATAGTCCAAAAGGAGGTAAATAATTAAGAGGTCACCTTCAAGAGTTACCCATTAACGGCATTAACTTTGAGTCCCCCGTGGTGAAGAACAACAAAAACAAAGAAATGAATCAGGTAAAATCCAAACGTCCATGGGTAGATAGAGCTCTTATTCAGGGCATCCGGTCTGCGAATTTGCAAACTTCCATTTCAGGGATTTGCAAAGGTTTGGGCTGAATTTCTTTGGTTTTTAAAAAATGCAATTTACACACACACTCAGAAGCTCAGATTCTCACCTGCCAAATCATGATAGTGGAGACCCCCAACGTATTACTGTGGTGGGTATCAGTCACATCTGTGAATTCCAGCATCCAACCCCTGTTCTTATTTCTGTGAGGCTACCCCCTGAGGCCCCCCTAGCAGAGCCAAAAGGTGGAGATTCTCTCTCTACCCACCCCTTCACCTTGGCAGCCAGGGTGAAGGCAAAGGATCCACCCTCAGGCAGTCAGAAATTCCTCTTAGGTCCTTGCATCCCCAGCAAGTGTCAAGACAGAAGGAATTTTTAGAGTTCACGTACGTTGACACCCTAAAAACCTGACTCTGATTTCTGTAAACTCCCCCAGCTGACTCTGAATCATCAGCCTCACCATCCTTTTCTTTTGTGCAGTGGTCGGGATAAAGCTTTTCCTGCCATCCCCACGTATATATTTACTCTTCTTGCAAGTGCATCTAGATGGCCTAGAAGTTTGTAGCTCCCTACTGATCTTTTTCTCCCTTGTAAGTTTCCAGCGCAGGCAACCGCACTCCCTGCACTCACGGTGTATTGTGTTACTGTGTTCGCTGTTGCCTCAGAGTCTGAGCTTCAATAAGACCTCAGGCACATTAGCTTGTTGCATGCTGTTCTCCCATCAAGGCAGAGTCGTTGTATCCTAACAAGGGACAGTGTGACATTCCTTACCGTCTTACTGCAGTATCAAGACTGTATATTTGTGCTTATTGTGGGTTTTGGGTGCTCCCCATACAACATCCATATGTGTGATACACAATGTGAGTGTGTGTCAATGTTCAATGTTGCCCCTAAAACCCAATCTCCTACCCCTTCTCGAGGTTTTCTGGAAGAGTTTCCTGACATAGCGACGCAAGCAGTTGGGTCAACCGGTTGCCATTTGAAGCCAGTTATCTGTGTGAGTCAATACCTGGCTGGCACACAGCAAATCCTAAGAATTTGCTGAGAGATGCCCACAGCTGGCCTTGGTAAACCCCCATTTTCAAGAGTGGGTTCCGTTAAAACTCTTCACTGTTCTTTGTGGTCGATGCTCTATTGTACAAATATGAACTTATAAAATAAATGTATGTGAATGCAATCACAGTATGCTCTTTGATGTGTTGGGGGATTCCATGCTAGATCTAATTTGGAAAAATTATCTAGGAGCGCCTGGGTGGCTCAGTCGGTTAAGCATCCAGTTCTTGATTTCAGCTCAGGTCATGATCTCAGGGTCATGCGATCGAGCCCCACATTGGGCTCCAGGCTCAGTGGGGAGTCTGCTTGAGATTCTCTCTGTCTCTCCCTCTGCCCCTCCCCTCACTCGCGCACGTGAGCCCGTGCTCTCTCTTTCTCTCTCAAATAAATAAATCTTTCTTATTTTTATTTTTTTAAATTTCATTTTATTATTTATTTGAGACAGAGAGAGAGCACAAGCAGGGAGAGTGGGAGAGGGAGAAGCAGGCTCTCCGCTGAGCAGGGACCCCGATGTGGGGCTCGATCCCAAACACGACCCGAGCCGAAGGCAGATGCTTAACCAACTGAGCCACCCAGGTGCCCATAAATAAATCTTTTTTAAAAGGGAAAAATAGGGGTGCCTGGGTGGCTCAGTTGAAAGAGCATGTGACTCTTGATCTCACGGTTGTGAGTTCAAGCCCCACATCGGGTGTAGGGATTACTTAAATAAACTTAAAAAAAAAAAAAAGAATTCAAAGAGTTTGAGATTTCAGAAAACTGATACCTTGACTATATCTAATACTGTGTAATTCACCCCATGGGCAGCGGGTTTGAGCAACTACCATAATCAAATCCATTAGTATTCTGTAGGGAAATGTAGGATATTGATATGAAGGGAAATAAATTAGGACTATAAATAGCCTCATGTCAGTCTAGATCTTGCCTCTAAATTTTATCCCTTACTTTTCTGGAGGGAGGGGGTGATGCAAAGCTTTCTGAGTTTGTTGGATTTCAGAAAAGGAGATTAGTGATTATGAGATGTTCTACTATTATGATCTTCATCTCACTCTATGGATAAGGAAAAGGAAGCTCAGAAAGGTTAAGTGACCTGCCTAAAGCCACACAGGAAAGCTCAAGAAGGCCGGAAGCCCAGGTCTTTCAGAGGACAGTCTGTGCTCCTGACACAGGGCTGGGTCTCTCTGCCGCTCCTTCAACAGTGCTCGCCGAGGGTCAGGGATTCTGAAGGAGGGCTCTGAACCTCTGAGAGGCCAACCTCTATGTGATTCCCATGGGGCTGGCGCTGGTGATTCTCCATGGGTTCCCCAAATTGCCTCTCTGTGCTTCTGCACCCTGCTCCGCACCCCGGGAGGCCACCTCCGTGCACTGCATTACAGAAGCTCCTTTGCCCAATGACTTCCAGTCGGGATCAGCCAATGCGAGGCGGCGGCAGGAGTCGGCAGGACGAGAGAGAGGTCTGGGTATTTCTTCCCTGCACTCTGGCTACCGGGCTCCCTCTGTTTTCCGGCACTGCTGGATCCTTCTACAATGACAAATCAGTCAGTTTGGTCACTCCTCTGCTTACTCCATCCCTCTTGAGAAGAAAGTTCAACATCTGTATAGCCCACTAACCCCTGCCTGCCTCAGCACCCCATCTCACAACACCCTAGCCACCCCAGGACATGTTCCCTCCCACCTCAGAACTTTTGTCCCTGTTGTTGCCTCTGCCTAGGATGCTCTTACATGACTCCCACTGACTCCTACCCCTCAGGTCTCTTTTTCCAGGAAGCCTTCCACGCCACCCCAAGATGGATTATTCCCCCTCTTTTTTTTTTTTAAAGATTTTATTTATTTATTTTTTTGAGAGAGAGAGAGAGAGAGAAACAGCATGAGAGGGGATAGGGTCAGAGGGAGAAGCAGGCTTCCCGCCGAGCCGGGAGCCCGATGTGGGACTCGATCCCAGGACTCCGGGATCATGACCTGAGCCGAAGGCAGTCGCTTAACCAACTGAGCCACCCAGGCGCCCTATTCCCCCTCTTTTATCTCCTCATAGCTCCCCTGTATTTTTCTGGCTTGGTGTGTCTCTCCATGGTGATTAATTTATTTGTGTAGATCTTTGTTTAATATTACGCTTCCTTGTAAGACTATGAGCTCCCAGGGAGCGGAGCTGGGTCTGTCTCATTGCTTGCGGTATCCCCGCGGCCCAGCACTCTGCCTGGCACATAGTAGGTACTCCAGAAATACATATACAGGGGTGATTGTTTTAATACAGGTTTTATTTTTATTTAGGAATGGTAAGGCCAAGAGACCAGGAGATGACTGTCATTGAAAAGATAGTTTGGGGGGCGCCTGGGTAGCTCAGTTGGTTAAGCGGCTGCCTTCGGCTCAGGTCATGATCCTGGAGTCCCGGGATCGAGTCCTGCATTGGGCTCCCTGCTCAGCTCGGAGTCTGCTTCTCCCTCTGACCCTCCCCGCTCTCATGCTCTCTCTCTATCTCATTCTCTCTCAAATAAATAAATAAAATCTTTATTAAAAAAAAAGAAAGATGGGGCACCTGGGTGGCTCAGTCGTTAAGCGTCTGCCTTCGGCTCAGGTCGTGATCCCGGGGTCCTGGGATCGAGCCCCGCATCGGGCTCCTTGCTCTGCGGGAAGTCTGCTTCTCCCTCTCCCTCTGCTGTTCCCCCTGCTTGTGTTCCCTCTCTCTCTCTCTCTGTCAAATAAATAACTAAAATCTTTAAAAAAAAAAAGAAAGAAAAAGAAAAGATAGTTTGGCATATTCACAGAGCCCAAGAAAATAGGACATGTCACACCATGGGGTGCCACATGAGGAAGCACCAGCATTGGTTAGGAGGCAGAGGAGGAGAGGGGGAACCATGGGCAAAAGCTTTTATTATGGTTTCTGCGGGAAGAAACGAGTCCCTCAAGAGTCAGCCAGGCCGCAGATACCCAAGCGTCAGAATATGGAAAATAAAAAGACACGGTCATTACAGTAATAAACATAGAACCCAGATAAATATCTATTATGTGAATAGGGGAACTGAATCTGAAATTCCTCTAATTGGCTTGCTCACTAGGCAACCTGCCAAACAAAACAGCAGAGGCCTCTGCCTGGCGTATGGAGGTTTGGAGTGAAGAGTTGGACATATGGCCTGGGTTCGAGTCCTGACTTCTCCACTTCCCAAAGCATGATGAGCCTGGGCAAGCCTTTGAACCTCCTGTGCCTCAGGTTGCTGATTTGTAAAATGGGGATAGTGGTAACCTATTTCACCAGGTGTGGGGAGGAGTATACCCATTCTGACATATGAATGACTTGGCACAGTGGCCAAGAGGGAGGCAGCTATTAAGCATTGGCCACTGGGGGGGCGCCTGGGTGGCTCAGTTGGTTAAGCGACTGCCTTCGGCTCAGGTCATGATCCTGGAGTCCC